TTCAGTCATGCCTAACTAGTCGACGGGAGTGACTCAGTTTAGTGGCTCCAAAATTATGAACATTTGATTGGTTGAAATTGTTTATTTTGGTCCGCCCATTTATCCAAATACAGAATATAAGATTACGTCATTCTTTTGGCATCCTGGTGCCTGCATTCAGTGTTTTACAAGTCGCTTATTCCGTCTCTAAATTAACTTTCTCGTTGGTGGTGCTGTCCAGAATGAGAAAAATAATAAAAAATAAGAGATTTGTGGCAAGTCTAGCATTTTATTAATCATTCCCAATTTTTTTGTAAAACGCACCATTAGTGTTTTAAGCAATATCCAAACTATCACATTTTATTTAACAGAAAAATGTGACATGCTTAAATAAGGTCATGATGACATCACATCATGACCATATATAGGCACATCATGACTATATATGGAAATTGTTAACAGCTTGCCTCCAGCTTATCCATGTCTGTTTGACGCGCACAATGAATCGCTTTTTAATGATGATCCATTCACACTGCCACCGACAATCATCAGGCGGCGTCGCCCGACACTCCAAGGAGAGGATTTGGATTCGTCGTTCAACAGTCTTATCATCAAACACTGGATTTTGAACCTCGTAGCATTTGCCCCGCTTTGGTATCAATACTTAATAGTGCATGATAGTATAATTACAAAAATAAGAAATTAAAATTAATGAATCAAACGAATTCGAAAGTTTGTTGGAATTAATTTACTAAATCTCTATTGTATTATTCTAAGAATTGTCCTATATCTGTTAATGAACAGAATATTGTGAAAATATATTTAATTTAGTCCATATTGTCCGTGCTGATGAGCCCTAATTTGATGTGGTTCGTATCACAACTAAATTGATACACCACAACTAGGCCAGCAAGTTTAAGCAAACAATTTAATTACATCTCAAAAGAATTTCATCTGGTTCTTTATGTAAATATTAAAGACTTTTTATTTTAGAACCAGTGTAGATGAGAAATTTCTTAGTTACCTCAGTACAGCTTGTTTACTGTCATACAACATAAACGATAGAGGGCGTAAATCAAGATCATTGTTGGGATTTAAAGGCCAATCCCATCAAAAAATTATAACAGTCTGAAGGAAGATGTAGTGTGTACCAGGAACGTAAGTGGCGTAATTAAGAAAATATCTTATCTCCGTCGATTCTAAGAAAATAAAGAACAAATCTGGAAATTGAGTGGAGTCGAATAGATTGGTGAAAGATGCTTGCCTCCCAATGCCAGGATCTTGGGTTCAATTCCTGTCAGTGTTACAGATTTTTCCTCACAACCAAAACAACCCTACTCCCCAATTGTGTGTGTGTGTGTGTGTATGTTTGTCTTGTGAAAAAGATTGTCACCTACATTGATATATTCACTATTGACAATCCTTATTGCACGTTTGTGCAAAAATAAATTAATTAAATAAATAAATTTTGTAATTCTCACCAACTCATTTTATGTTTTAGCTATTATTTACTTTACAACATTTTTTTTTCAAATGTAATAAAAATCTAAAAAAACTAATGAAATTCAGATTTTTGAGCAGTGCAGGAAACATCACAAATTCACCAAATAATAATTCACAATATTTATGTATTAAAAATTTTCAGAACAGATTGCAAGGCCACAGAAAAAATTATTATGTTTGGTATGAAAATGTTTATAATCCTTTAATGTTTTATGATTTCATCGATATTAATATTATTTTTCTTGCTATCAATCTAGATTTCAATTCTAAACATTATTTTAGAGTTTTTTACAACACTGTCAATATATAAAAAAAAAATTAAATTCTTTGTATTATATTGATATACATTGCATTCTTTATTGGAAAAAAATATTGGAAAACCCTTCAAAACTCATAACACTCACATCAATGACAACTTTATGGGGTCATCAAAAACATCTTTAAACACACACCCAACTTTAAGGGGTCATCTAAAGGGTTGAGGTTGTCTTTTGTATTTGTCTATTAAAAGCCAATTTAAATTTGGTCTTCCCTGTGGTCACTTTGATGCTCTACGACTTTCATCATGTTTTTTTAACAGAAGCAATATGAGGTAATATTAAAATCAGTCCATACCGATGAAAACTCTACTTTTAAGTTACAGTATTTTGTGATTCTGACTAACTGTCCATATGAGTCTTGCCATCCCAAGCATACTGTCCAGGGTTTGGGGAGAAAAAAAATGTAATGTATTCTCCACATATTAGTAGACTCTAAAATTGATTAAATAAGCCTTTGAAACCCCTAAATTGTCAAATTTGGACCACTTTCGAAACCTTTAAATCGAAGCTCGACCACACCCACTTTGCTTTCATCGGGAAAATCTGACCTCGGCCCCCCCAGACCCGTCGGGCAAATCCTGTCCACGACAAGGTCGTTGGATCAGTGATTGAAAAATATATAATAATATAATGATATTTATTTGATTGCCAAGCCCTAAAATTATGGTCTAAAAGCACAATATGGACCATGCTAAGTAACAAAAACTTAGCCTGTGAACCTTTATACCAGGTATTTTTTATTCCGAGACTCGGACCGAGGCTCTAGTCGGCCTAATAAATTAAAATCTTTAAAGTTAGTCTCAGAATATTGCCTCTTAATTACCCGAGTATCATTTGCCTGTAAATGACCCATCATTTTATAAGCTTATAATGTGAAGAATACAAGTATATTAAAGATCATTATATTCATATTTTCCACATTATAAGCTTTAAAATGATGGGCCATTTACTGGAATCCACTTACTACTGCCAAAGTTATGAGTAAAAGTATTATGGCTCCTCTGTAATAAAGTATACAATACAGCCACATGCCCAGTTTATTAATAACATAGCAACAGAATGCTGGTTTTGGGATGACAAGCCTCAAATTTTGTTTGAATATCCTAGTAATTAAATTTATCCATTGTGAAAAAAAAAAAATAATTGTGACCTATACATTAAATATTTTTAATTGGTGCCAATAGGTACAGTGGATGCTTATCTATGCAAAAAATTGCCAAAATTTTGCATAAACACTGATTACTGTATATTGGGACTAGTCAACATTTCATATATTTTACAATATTCCATGATTTTCCTATTTCCATAATTTTCCATAGTTAATTTGTTTAAAATTTAATTTACTTCTTTTGACATTTTCAATACCATGGTGTCATTCTCCCAAGAGCCACATAAATCTATTATACATGTATTTGCAAAAACAAAAATTGATTGCTTTTTCAAAATATTAGCTTTCAACAGAATATCAGAACAAGAAAAAATTTTCCCTCGCCATAAACAGACATAAATAATATCATTTTCATAAACTTTTGCATGCATTTAATTTCTGGCCGCAGATATAAGAATTAATGCAGTACAACATCTAATCAAATTTACTTTATATTCTTGATTTGGGCTAATATTAACTTCTATGGTGAGCCAAGACTTTTTATACCTCGTTTTGTGAACCAACCATCCACTTATAGATTGTTAATAGAATAAAGGTTGTTAATAGTCATTGTTGACGTTATCACTATCATTTGCACTGAATTTTCATGTCCCGGACTGACTATTAATTCGACATAGTGCCTCCTATTTTTTTGTGTCTCATGTGCAAAAAGCTAAAAGTTAAGTGTGAATTTACTACATCTACCGCAATAGAATATTTCGTTGCTAGACTAAACTATGACCGCATACAGTGAACGAACAAAAACCTTCAAAAATTGCCTGAAGCCCGCTTGGGGTGAAGGCAATAATGGCTCCTTCGGCTTAAATCTCCTATAGTGTACTCAAAACCTATATTTCCTTATTAGTGCAACTGCCACCATGAAAAAATAACAAAATTATTAAAAAAATTATTGGTAATATTTTCATGCATGTCACGACCATATAATTTACTTAAGACAATATATAGTATTTTATTATTTACTTTTAATTAACCAGAAACAACACTTTTATTCAAGGTCAAACAAATCAGGTTTTCAGGTCACATAACTTGCAAATCAAAAGTTATCTGTTATTTCCCATGACCTTTGGCCTCATTACTTCATTGCCATCCACTTATTTGTAGTAGACTTCACCATTACCAAGATTACAGGTAATGCCTTAGTACTGAATTGTGTATTATGGGCTTTCATTATTGCCTACTGATTCATACTGTTGGGATCAACTTGTCTTCTCGTTTTCCTTCCGAATATAAAACTTCAGTAAAAACAACAGTAGCCATCCTTGTTGATTTATTGGAATATGCACGCCATCACCACACATTCTTTTTCAATAACGTAATAATTTCATATTGTATTAACACCTGGTATTTTCTTAGGTCTTCACTTCCTAAGGATACCTGCCTGCTAGGTTTATTACAGCGCTATAAGCTGCCCAAATTATTGATCAACTGTAGAGGAGCATCTCCCAATTATGAACCTCCCAATTACAAACTCTCGATTTTAGGAACTCGATTTGCAGTGATGATGTCATTAAAAACACTTAAAATCGCATCTAAAAATCTTCACAAACAATATAAAATGTTAAATCAGAAGAAAGCAAAGCTTTACAGCAAAAAATATTAATTGTTTTGAGCTGAGATATCCACCATTTGAGCTCATACTTGTTGAGGCAGCTACTGTACAATAGGAATAGAGAATCTCACTTCGTTCATTGGGGCATTATACTATGGTTCAAACTAGTGTGGTAAACTAATTCAAAGAGAAGAGAATAATATACCAATTGTTTTTACTATTAATGGTCATGTTTTCATTCAGAATTCACTTAAGATGAATACTTCACAGTGATTACAGATAATTTAGGCTTCTGTGTATTATCTTGATGCAAAAAACAATAAAACCCAAGTCATATTTCGTGGCCTATCTACCTCACCACTAAAATGCCATGAAAATCCGAACTCTCTGAATTACAAACTTCCTCAATTACGATCTATCTTCGGGGGAGGGGAACGTAATTGGGAGATGTTACAGTATGTGGTTGCGAAGCTTTTCTTACCTGGAATTCTTGAGGACGAAGTTTTCCTTCTCTAGCTTTTTCTGCCAAACTTTTGACATCATTGCTAATACTTGATAAACCCTGCAATGTACCAAAAAAAAAACCAATTAATGTTATAATGTATCAATTAATGTTATTATGTAACAATTATGCAAATTCTATGATGCAACATTGAACAAAGACATGAATATTGCCCACCAATGATTGTATCATCTAGGAAAATTTAAAGTACGGAAACGATGATCTTTTCATTTTTTACCAAAGCGTTATCCAATTAGTGATTTCTTTCGGTGGATTGGTGTGATTCAAGCCATACTAAAAGGAACTTAGAAATTATAAAACAGTTAAGGAAGTCTATAAAATAACAGAATTAAACGTAAAACATTCAAAGAAATTACTGAAGCTGCTATTTTAAATAAAATGTATGATATAATCAATGATAATAACCACCTACTTCACAATATCAGTTTTAGCAGATCTGGTAGAATTTTTACCTCATTAACATAACAAGACTCATTTATTCCTAGTGCAACGATAGATTTGTTAGATAGTTTATTCTTTTGCTCTATTAATACTTTTTCATATTTTCAGTGTGTGCTATTTTGTGCAATCTGTGCTTCATATCTTATATTTTAAGCAATTAATGTAAAAACAATAGCCTAGAATTACAATGAGTTCTGTACAACTTGAATTGGTCTTTTACACACGAACCAAAAAAGATCAAGCCAACAGCGCACTATATAAAATAAATAGTGCACAGTTGGTGATAGGTAATAACATTGGGAGTTGCAGTGACGACGTCACGATTGACTTAAAACAGTATATTATAAAAGCAAATTTCATGTATCATATTCATTAATGACCCATAAAATAAACTTGAACTTGACTGTCTTCACGCACACAGTTAATTGGTCTCTTGAGAAGAATGTGTGAAATAAAGGGAAATGATGAACACAAAATTATGTATTCCAGAAAAATATAATTTTAATCGACCATCTTTACAGATTGTATTAACAATATAATCTGTAATCGATAAATAAATATTTGAGAATTCAACAGTTTCCTTGAAACTTGCACAAAAATAACCATAAGACACAAGAGGCTGTTAATACTAGTGAAGTGGCAAGTATTCTAGGAAACCAATTCCTAATTAATTAACTGTCAAATATAGTTCTTTGATGAATTTCACATACATTCCTGCAAGTATTGGCCGTTCCCGTGTCAGATACGACTGCTACAATACATTCACAGAGTTGTTTGTCATTTTGTTATGTGATTCGGCCAAGATGAGATTCTAATTTAGTAACTCCACCGCTAATTGAAGATAATCATTGTTCTTATTTCATTCTGCTTGAACATTAAATAATTCTCACATTACACAAGAGGCAAATCAACACTGGCTATTTTTAAGTTTCCTAGTATGACACTTAAAGTCTTGTCCAGACTATCAAATTTTTAAGTGACAAAAACATGTGACATGCCTAAATATGGTCATGATGACATCACATCATGACCATATATCAGCACATGATATATAAATAAAGCCCTGTCTAGACTATCATATTTTATGTGACATAAACATGTGACGTGCCTAAATATGGTAATGATGACATCACATCCTATCAGCACATGATATATAAACAAAGACTATCATATTTTATGTGACATAAACATGTGACATTCCTAAATATGGTCCAGATGACATCACAATACAATAGCTTTATTTTTTTTTTAAATTACAATGAGAACAGAAATTTAGGAAGTGGACTTTTTTGGGAAAAAATTGGGATTTCCAGATTCCATTCCAGTATAAAGCTGTATTTTTTTTTTTTTTTTTTTTTTTTTAATTATCTCTACACTGATTTTAACTCTTATTGATATCTTTCTCTAAATAATTGCTTCTTTGAATGAAATTTTGATATTTGATACATCCTTCCTCAATTTAGCCTTTGGTTGCTAAGAAAGTTTATCTGGCTGTTATTTTTATTGGATTTATAATTTTAGAGTTTGAAGAAAAGATACCGAGATATTTATATCTCATACTGAGTTTCTATGTCAGAAAGAATTTTAAAAATTTAAAATCAAATAGAAAAACAAAAATAGCTGTAATTTATTTTTAGACAACTCTTCATTTACAATGGATTAATTATTTATAACATCATTCACTATTAATCACCTCCTTGATATTTGCACAATGCAATATTCTAAAGCACTGTTTGTGTGGTTTTATTGTTATGAGCTTGTTGTTCTAATTGGTATTCTCATGGGGAAGTTTAATGTTCTGTGTTCTACTATAACACGTTTTTTAAAATCCAATTTTCTAATTTGATCCTTTTATCTAGTTTTTTTTTTTTCCAAGGTTAACTGCTAGCTTTGTGAAATATTTAATAAATGTGATTTGTAAAACAAAACAAGCAATAAAATTTGCATGTATTCATATTTCATGAGTTTGATCAATATTACTTGAAAGGCATTAAATGTATTCAGTGGCTTTTTTTAAAAGTGGGAGGGGGGAGAGATGCAGAACATTTCTGGAAAAGGAGAAGGAAAACCCATACCACATCATTCCCTCACCTTGCATCCCCAACCAAACCTCCCATCCCTCTCTACACACATAGATATATTCCATTGAAAGCTAGAGTAGGCACTCCATAAGGCGGGCACTCACTACATCTTACGATGGTCATACGACCGTCGCATGACAAATCACCGCTGCCTCCCGCGAGCGATAGACAATGCAATGTCTGCTGATTGTCAGTGGCAGTCTGAACAGATCCTCATTAAAAAATCTGTCCGTTGGTTCCGCGTCGTCGCATGCGTTCATCATTGCGTTGCCGTCACACACACCGAGTACCCGTAAACTAAAAAGGGTCTTTCTTCAATTATTATGTACAATTCCACTAATAGGCCATGGGGTGAAGCTCAAAAGACGTCTAGAAAACGAATTCCGTTCCGATCTTTTCAACATAAAAAATTTAGGCCTACAATAGTTAAGTAATGTCTTGAATCAAATATAGAAAGTTCGACCAAAATATCTTCTGCAATTTTAAGAAAATTACCGTTTTATTACATTCATAGGCTACTGGTCGTCGGAAAACACACCGCGACACAGCGGTGTAGAAGCACGTCGCGATCATACCATGAGTGTCTACTTGCGTCAACTCGCATGAAATCGCGTCATTTTAGGTCAAATCTTGTCAAGTAATGTCAGATTGCATCAGTACACGTCAATTCGCGTCAACTTACAGTATAATTATTAATGAGAAATTTCAACAAAAAAACTTATTTTATTATTGTAATTGCAATTCTTTGATATTCTTTTCAAAACAATAATTGTGTAACAATTTAAAGAAAATGTATTAGTATTTTGTCTTCTTTTGACTCCTGTGGTCTTCCTTTTGACAATGTGTCTGCATGTTCCCTCTATGTGTACTAAAGTACACACTTCATTCTCACAGTATTTTTACATTCATATTCCTTTTTTAAAATTATTGTATTTATTTTACTTTCAAATTGTAATAAAAGATTAAGTGTGGGGAAATTTAAACTTGATGCATTTTTATGATGTGCATGGATGTATATTTGTTTGTAAACTCCAGTTGACACATGTTGGGACACATTTTATTAAATAGAAATTTAAATTTAATACTGTAATATGAAAATTCATATTTATTTCTCAAATATCCTGAGAGCTTCTCCTCCCTTCCTCAGTGCTTGCTTATACAATATATAACTCTATATTTATGTACATGTTATACATCTTAATAAAAGCTTCTTGCGCTCTAGTGAGTCCGTTACTTTTTAAATTCTCTATATAATACAGTACTTAATAAATAAATACAGTGAAGTGTTTCGCAGTCCTTTGTCATTGTGTGATTATTCTCATGGTTCTATAAGTTCTCAAGGGTTACACCGTTACATTATACAGAATTTTTTTTAAACTTTTGTACATCATACATAATAAATAAAAATAGATGCTTTACATACTCCTGTGTCACTGTGTGTTAAGTCTCAGGGTTCTGAAGTTCTTACATTCTCAAGGGTCACACGGTTACGTTACCTTTTTTAAATTTTCTATATTATACATAATAATGATGAAATAAGAAACACATCAAATCTCAATCAAACAAATCATCTTGGTAAATTTCGTCTAGGTATTCATCGTCTGCAAAGTGAGCATCTTCATTCATGGTGTCTTTATCATCTCTGTTCTGACAGTTTGTACATTGACAAAGATCAGAGCATTTCATGTTCATTTTATTGCACTGACATCTGCCTTGATTGTCTTACAATCGCATTTGATGATCTCCATTAAACTATGCCTACTATATTATTTAAAATAATACAATTTTAATTGATAAGATTAATTTTTACATGAACAAATAATTCATACTTAAACAATATTTTAAATTTAAATATAATGACATTAACGAATAAATAACAATAATTAAATGTGTACATAGTATCTGATGATGACATAATTAATGTTCCCTGATGATGACATAATTAATGTCGAAATATTGAATCCCAACACGATGGCGTGTATTTCAATACTTGGAGTATGTATTAAACTTTCTTACATAGTATCTATCACTCCTACAATAACAAGATTAATATTTTTCAATCTTATATAATCAATTTTTTATAGCCGGAGTTAGTTTCGACCTAGGCAAACCTTTGCTAAAAAGGTACACTTTCTCCATCAAAAGGCTTTTTCTATGAATGGAATGACCTGTTCGAAGCACGAACTCCTGTAGCCCAAACCCAGTACCGTTACAATTTGCAATCATACGGGAAATCCACTCAGGAAGCTAAGTGGGGTAGGGCCTGCACAGTCAGCACCATTTTTTTAAAGAATATTTTTAATATATTGTACAATGTGTAAGGTACTGATGGGACTACACTAAACTTGGTAATGATAACTTATCATTGCTATCGATTTCGTGTCGATGTAACGATGATAGCAAACAGGGTGGAAGCCAAAGTAAGGATGTTGTCTTATCACATCATCCTGGCCGTATGTCTTTCCCTCATCCAAGAAGAGGCATATCCTAGTTCCGACACAAGTTTGTCAGCTATAA